GTTTAAATAATTTGGCTTTGGCTTCACTCTTTTTTTTTTTTTTTTTTTGGAAAGGCGGGTATTTTACATGAGAAAGAATTGTTAGCTTTGGTTCTGCTGTCACTGCAGGGAAGCGAGCTCTCACACTTGAATCATGCTTCTTGAGCTCCGTGTTATAGGGAAATTCCTTTTCCTGGAAAAACTAAAAAGTTCCTGGCTTTCATATTTGCAGAGATATGTTTACAGTGCAAGACGAGTATGATCTAAAAAGTCTAAATACAAAAAATATGGCAAAGAAAATAGAAACAAATTTACTTCAAGACTTAAAGAGAATGATTATATAGTGGCTGTGGTCTGTATTTGTGAGACTTGTGAATATGTTTTTTCTTTTCACTATCTTCACAAAGCATCACCAAGGAGGTCTGAACCATGTTTGGATCCCAAGACACCGTGCTTGGGTGCTAATACGATGAAGATTATTTTCTTTAAAAAAAAAAAAATATATATATATATATATATATACACACACACGCACATTTTTTTATTTTTATTTTTAAATACATTCATTTCCAAAATTCATGAAAGTCTGGGGACTGCTACATCTTTACTAATGATCTGTTTCTTTTACCCAGACTCTGAAATGTCAAGGAGAAACAATTAAATGAAACCATTGGACTCACTTATGTTTAAATTCTTCTTAATATTCAAACAGATCAATTTGCTGCATGTAGTAATTATTTTATGTGAACTTTAAAGGGCTGGGTCTGGGTTTTGTTTGGCTGTTTTTTCCCCTCAGCATTGTTCAGTCTACTAAAAATCTTAAATGGAATGTAAGCAGATCCTTAATATATAAACTTAAAGCAAACAAACAAAAACAAAACAAAACAACAACAAAAAAAGAGGACAGCTATAGTCCTGGTACTTTGAGTAAGACTAATAAATTGAACACAGATTGCCATCAAAGAAGGGAAAATTGCCCTGTGCTTAAACTTCGTATTCTCTAGGGAGCGGAAGCTGCTTCATAGCATCAAAAAAGACTATTTCTCCCCCATATGATGCAGAATATTCAAATTGTCCTAGAGAATTTATGTACCTTTTAAAATTTATTTAGCTTCTTCATAACAAAGATTTTATAACCTCTCTCTTGTAAGTAACAGCACCTCTGGAGATGTTGCCAGATGAACGTGGAGTATGTATTCTCCCACAGACAAGGCAAATGTTTTGTACATGAGAATTTCAGCTATGTCTATGAGCCACTGTGGTTACAGTAATACTACTTTGACATTCTCTAGCCAAATCTGTACTTATGGGTACCGTTTCTTGTAAGAACTGCAATTCAATCAGGGAAAGAATGGAAAGGAATGACAGGAATTCCGGGGGCCAGGATGTGGAATAAAATCTTCAACTTTACAGAAGATCAAGTGACTTTTGAAAACCTGAAAGAATAGAAAAAGGCTTTCTATTGCTTTCAGTGGAAGGCTGTGTGATAAGTTATAAAGGGGTATTCAGCAAGCTAGCTGAAAAAGACCATAGGTTCTATTCATCCTGTTCATCACCAAAAGTTAAAGCTGCAGCAGCAGGAAATTCACTTTTCTTTCTTGTTTTATCTTAGCAGAGATGACACCTGAGCTGCAATACTGGAGACATGAATTTTATTTCTGTCTTCTTCCCCTGGCCTACCACGGAGAGATCTTATACGACCTGTTTCTCTACTTCCTCTGTCTTGTTAACTAATATCCAGGAAAATGTCATCTCCTACTGTATTTAATATAACACCATCTTACAAAACGATTCTGATCTCAGTTGACGCCTCTACACATTGCTCTAATATAAATGATAAAGAAAGTAAGGATAATCCCCAAATCATGAAGTCATCTGTCCTCTGACTCGCAGTAACTCTGCAGAGCCCAGATCCACTCACAGGTTTGATAAAACTGTGGGGACTGACACACAGGGAGTAATCTATGTGCAGGAGGGAAGGAAAATGATATAATGAAAGCAGGGCTGAATGGCTTCATGTCACTGCAGGTATTTCAAATGAGGTAGCATGTTTCAGCAAATAAGCCTCTCTGACTGTATTAGTGTTAAAACTGCTGTAATAGGTACAGAAAAAAAAAATCTCTACTTATGTCTTTTTTTTTTCTTCTTTTCTTAAATTAAAGCAATGCCTCAATGTCTCTACCTGCACACTGTAAAATTAACAAAATCACTTATGTGTCTGAATGCAAGCAAAATCAGCTGTATTCCTTAACACTTTTTCTCTTCTTCAGATAGCCTTCCGAAGCTGAGCCTTTTCTCTTCTTCGGGTAGCCTTCATTGCCTCTGAAATTATAGATTTTCCTTAGTTTGGTCATTCTGTTTTCCTTGTTAAACTATTTCAAATAAATATTTTACATGAAATGAGGAATAAGAAACAGGGAGGATGTGGCCTACTTTGCTTCTCGTTATAAGAAGATATTTTCAGTAATTCCTAACAGGTTTTCCTGAAATGTCCTTTCTAGCATCTCTCTCTTCCCTAAGATCTCTTTATATTTTATATTTGTGGAGAATTTGAAGTTGGCCTGAGATGTAGATTTGTCACTTCACTCCATAATGTGATATGAACTCAGTGTGCAGAAATATATTTGCTCAGAACATAGAAATGGATTATGTGTGGGAGGGTTAAATGAGTGTTTCAGATAAGCTTTTACTGTCTCTAGGTAGGCAAAAAATTAGATATTGTGAAGTAGTTGACTTAAAACTCAGATTTTTTTTCCTGTTGTACCTCACAGTATATGGAAGCTATAAATGAGAGCAGACGTATTTTGTCTTGGAGGTAGTACTCTATTTAAACTAGCGGATAAGGTTAATCACAGTGCATATGATAAGACAGGTTGTCTGATGTTTGTAATGCCCCCTTATCATCTTGAAACTTTACTGAAATAGTGACAATAATTTATTTATTTATTACTCAGAATGGAAGTTTGAAGCAAAGTCTGTAAAAACATATTTACCATTTTAACCAAGGTGCAGTGACTGAGTTAAAGCCAGGCCCCCACTTCAGAGTATACTTTTATCCACAGGAAGATTGTACTGTACCAGGGACAGAAGTATCATTTATTTTTTCACAGGGATTTTACTTTTTTTTTTTTTTTTTTTTAGGATCAAAATCGTAAAATATGGAAATTATCTATAAAATGCAAAACTATTTATATAGAACTGTGGTACCACTTGCAAATGTTATGTTCATCTTATTCCCAAATGACTTTTTTTATCCTCCCAAATTTTAAAATCTTAAGAATGGTATCTTAAACTGCCCTATCTGAATCTAAGCCACAAGTTAAAAAGGAGAGATCTAAACCCCTTACAGTATTTTGTTTTATCTTTCACAGTAACAAGTAGTATAACATTTAAGTGACAGTGACGTTTCCAAGTTGAACTCATGACCTACACCTCTTCTCTTTTCCTTTTTTCTTTTTTTTTTTTTTTTTTAAACAATAGTTCCTTTATTAAAAATCCAGTATGTCATCATTCTTTTTCACTTTTTCTCTTTCCCTCTTGCCTTTATCTGCTACAAAGATTCTTTCTCCACTCCCTGTGCTTTCTTCTTCAGACCTCTCTTTCCTTCTGCACCCACAGCCTTTTATTTTTTTGTGGTGGTCATCTCCTGCTTTGCCCCTTGACAAGTTTTTGGGCGATGAGGATGCCATCTTTCCTCAGCACAGTGCCCAGATTTACCTGCGTGTTGCTGCTGAATATAGGGAGTCTCATTGCAAAAAAGCAATTTTTCTGCTTCATGAGCAGCAAGTGGCTTTATCCCACCCTACAAAGAAGGAGTATACACCTGAAAGCAGCCAGCTGGGTATGGGGACCTGAAAAAGTTGCTGGTCCCCTCATGGGGACCAGTCTTGCCAGCAAAACAGTGTAAATTCACTGGGCCTGCAGGCACTTCTATACTTGCTTTGCAAAGGTATTTTTGTAGCTGCTGTCAAATTATAGGGAACTATTTTTGCCAAAATGAGAATGTTTGGACTGTGCTCTTAAATATAGGTCTCTGTTCTGAAGAAATAAGATGTAATGTAATTTTTTTTTTTATACCTAGAGTTGGAACAGAGATGAGAATAATAACTTTCAAAGTAGCACTTCTCACAAAGTGTTTCTCATTTATTTTTTTCCTCGATGCATGACAGGAGAAAATCCTAATGACGTCATAGAACTTGGATCTAGGAAAAGGTAAATTTCACAAGACAGCAAATATATTATTGGAAATATTTGCTGTCTTCTGAAAATATGGAATTCATATTTCATTTTATTGTTCTTCTTTACAAGAACATCAGTGAAAGGAATATACCTATTTGCTAACTTGACTTGGAGCATAATGTAAGTAATTAGCTTAGCATTGCCTTAGGAGACTTGCTTAAAAATGCCAGCAAAATGGGTGTGATGTAAGGATTTTGATCCTGTCCTAAAGCTTCTGCATGGTTCAGTTTCAAGAAAAGAAAGCCTGCTTCCTGCAGGCCTGACGCTCTTCTCAGGAATGAGATCTGCTGACAAACCAAGCATCTCTCCGGAGAGTGACAAGTTCTGCTGAATGCCAGCAGCGTGGTTTTTTTTTTTTTTTTTTTTTTTTTTTTTGTTTGTCTGTTTTTTTTTAAATACAAGTCCTGAACTTTACTGTATTCTTGAGGGAAGCCACAGATGTTGGACTTCTGCCATTTGAGGATTTGCCCTTAATCCACAGTCTCTGCCAAATTCTTACTGGAACAGAGCACTGAGTAGGAGCTGGGTATGATAGCTGTCAAGGCTTAGTTTGCCACCAACACTATTTTACAATGTACTGTTAATGAGTGCAGTTGTTTGATAAAGAGATTTCTGAGCTAGCACACAACCAGAGAAACTCACATAAAACTGCAGCATAAGAACTGATTAATTCAGAAATCGCATGGATAGTATTTGTTGCATATGTCATCTTGATTGGGATTGGTTTTCCTGCAGAACATGAGCACGTGTGTCTTCAGTGATGGTGTTATTTTCCAGGGAAGTGTCTGATGTAAACGAAACTAGAAGTGATCAAATTCTTATGAAGAGGACTTTTGTATGCTTCCTTCCAGAAATGAAAGGGAGTATTCTTCCTTATTATTCTGGGGACATTTCATCATGTTAGCTACAAGTGGCAATTAATATTTAAATTTTTGAGAAGGACGCACACAGAAGAAGATGCACCAGTGTTCCTCGCTATATACCAAGCACGAAGAGCTCAGTTCTATGATCAATAAACCAATGGCTTGTTTGAAATATAAACATGCAGGCCAAAAAGTGTTGACTTTGGTGTGAGCTACATAGGAAGAATTAAATAGAAAAAGTTCAGCTCTATCTTATATAAGTCTGCACTGCCTGCAATACTCCCTATAACCTAGCAAGGTTTGTTTGTTGTTTTACCTTATTTCTGTAAAGGCCTCAATGTTATTACAAAATATACTAGCAATTGCCTTCACTGCATTTTTGAAAGGTTGTTGCAAACTTTTGTCTTTTCAGTTCAATTCATTCTTGTGTGTTTACATGGTGGTTTGTTGATTTTTTTTTCTGTTTGTGAGTCCTCCTTTTCTCTTCCAGGTTACGGTTCCTGTTCCCACATTTCTTCTCATGCCCCACTGCAGGGGAGGAAAGGTACCCTGGACTCTGCAGCCCGGCAAGCCATCAGCCAGGTAGGGAGATACATGTTGGCTCAGCCCAGGCCTGTGAAGGGCTAGGCAGGGTAGTAGCATTCAACATGGAAAGCAGTAATTGCTGATTTACAAATTTTAGACTGGAAGAAATGTTTGTGTCTATGTGAATAATATATATGCATGTATGCAGGCATACACAGGTATGTATGTATGTGTATACCTACCTATACAAATATATATACAGGGAGAACTGAAAAGACACTTGGGCAGGGCTTAAAGACCAAGTTCAGATAATCTCTCCCCAACTGGATCTGTAGCTCTGGCAGAGCAGTAGCCACAGCAGAAGCCCCTGCAACATTGCTGACCTGTCAGAGCATGGACAATCACTCCTCTGACGTTGTTAGCTGGGATGTGTTTCTCGCCCTGACATTAAGCAGGCCTCCCCGCTGGAGGCCCTGTCAGAGATGTCTAGCACTTGCTGCTATTGCCTGCACTTGGGCTGTTTGTACAGAGCTTAACATGCTTATTTTTGTATCTGGAGGAAACTGTGGTGGTGGCGGTGGGAGGCTTTTAAATGAAAATGAGTGTCTGTCTGGGATAGGTCACTGGGGTCCACCATATGCCTCATGGGCTGCACCTGGCGGCCTGATCCAGTCCCCGCTTTGGGGCTGGGGCAGTCCAGCACAGGAAGTGCCCAGGGTTTGTCCTGGAGCTGGCAGGGGATGTCCCCAGCTCGTAGTCCCCGTAGCAGCAGCCCAGTCTTCAGCTTTGCAGGGCTGTGCTGTCCCAGCCCTGGGTGAGGCCTACCGGGAGGCCTGTCATATGCATAGCTATGAGTAGTGGTTTACAGTGATGGCGTTGTCTGTGTGGTTGGCTTGTTACTGAGATCTCAGAGGACGAAACACCCAAATAAGTGTGTCTTAGTCTATTCTCTGATCTGGAGCATAACACACCTTTTATACCTTTTCAAAGCACCCAGCCAGCTCATCTGAACTCAGCTTGTGCCATGTCCATCAGCGGTCTGGCTGAAACACTGCTTTGTATTACCTTTGCTCAGACTGAGCAGAATAATCTATTTCTGTTAGTACAGAAGAGCATGCAAACTACTCAGTGGTGATAGCCCTTGGTGTCAGACTTTTTCTGCAGTCCAGGCAGAGATACACTTTATAAAATCAGCCCACTGGATATTATAGAATATAAATGCACAGGAAGTAGAATGGTAACAAGGTTATAGTGACCAAATAATTCAGAATGCAAAACCTATTTTTCCATAGAAGTTTCTCCTTGCTGCCAGAATACCATATCTTGGCTACTGAGTTAGAAAAAGTGAATGGAAGATGACTAGGAACTGATAATAGTTGGGTAAATGTCATCTTTACCTTGACTTTGTATTTCCGTTTAGAAACAGTATTAATATTCAAAGAAGATAACCCTAATAACTTAGGGTATTAAAAAGCAATTTAAGTATAAAAAGGCTGAAAATGTTCATTATTTTAGTTTTACTCTGCACTAAGGATATGTTTTAGCAGTGGACTTGGTACTATTAGGTGATTGGATTTGATCTCGAAGATCTTTTCCAACCTAGATGATTCTGTGATTCTAATAGCATAACAGCCGTTTTGTAATTCTGGTTCTTGTAGCTTTTATTTTGACTTTCTTATATCCATAGCGTATCAGTATTTTGCCTAGCTTTTGCCTCAACAGACAAGAAAACATAGGGGAAAGGGAGAGGATGTTCCCCTAAGAGTAGGGCTCTGGATCCTTTGGAAAATGACTCTGAAAGGGTAGGAAGGCTCTAGAGCCCCTATTTAAAATAAACAACATTTTCAGTTTGCCTACTGTGATATCTTTATTTCCACAAACGCTGAATTTAAGACAAAAGAAAAAAAAAATAAAATTAAAGAATTTAAAGAAATAGGGGAGGAAACATATCCAAACAGCCACCGTGAATACAAGAGATGATGTTTACAGCAGTTGTGCATTTCACTGGGGGATGGCAGGTTGTGAAGGTAGCTAGGAATGTATTTGTTCTATTCTGACATGGTTGAATAAAAGAAATAAAGATAGAGGTGCGGGGCCTACTTTCAGTCCTTTGGACTAAGGAAATCATGATTACCTTCAGCAGTGTACCCCGCATGAGGTTTGATGGTTCTCTTTAGGTTCTCCTATAACTTGTTGCTTCTAGGTTTTTGCTTGAGAGTGTGGAAAAGTAGTATTTCAAAATGGAGCTAATTTGACATTTCTAGAAGAGCAGCCTTTTGTGAGATGTTTTGATTACATGGCAGAGCAGCCTCTGTAAAGAGCTATTTGGCTAAGGAGAGCTCTTTAACTCCAAACAGGGATAAAAAATACAAAATGACTACTCAAGTATAACAAGAACAAGAGAAATAGTCTTAACAAGCCCTGTGGGATACAGACCATTAGCTGAAATCCCCATGTACATGTATATATGTGCCACACAACTTCAACATCGTCGATGTTGGGGGGGTGGGAGGTGAAATAGGATATAAATATTTCCTAGTTCTTCTGCTCTTCAATTTGTGCCGGGGTACACTTTCCTCTTGTAAAGTGTTACTTTTTAAGTATGATAAAAGAGGTGGCAGCTGTGGAGGTGTACAAGGGACACTTGTATACGTTATGCATAACAACATATGTTTATGCATGTTTCTTTGTGGGCTTGTGCTAGCTCCTGCTATCAATCTTCATTTACATAATCGTGATCTGGAGGGATGTCTGGTGTCTGTTGCTCGATTCACAGGTCACTACGTTATCCTCCTCAGACTCTTTAAATTGCTGTGTATGGTCTGTTTTCCATTTTAGAAAAGCATCTCTTTTTTGCTAGAAGGTACATATTTAAGAAGGCAGAATGGTTCAGGATGTCTGGAGGAAGGAATATAGGGCTGTTGGTGATACAAGTCTGTCTGAATTTTCTCCCTTTTCCAAATATTTTATTAATGCACGTAGGGACAGTGATGAAAAGAGCACTGGAATGATTTTTTTTTTTTGAATGTAATTTGAGTTCTTTGTTTTTTATTTATTTGTAGTTGTCAACTTGAAAAATGAAATCTAACAAAATGTATCTAGCTATTTTCAAATTACAGGAGTAGTTAAACAGATACAGAAAAATGAGATCTTGCAACAACTAGAAATTTTGTTTTGTAATATTGCTAAAAGGATGTGTTTTGGAGAAAATTAGTTGAAACCTTCTTAAATATAAGTAACTAGATTAATCTGAATGCACATCTGTAACTTTAGATATTGACAATATTAAAATATGCATATTGCAGACAAACAAACTAATTCTACCTCCATGAGTTCTCAGTATTTTCTCTTTCAGTTTGGAACTGGAAGAGAAACACAGGCTTTCAGTTTTGTAGTACTTAAAATCAAACAGTCTAAAACCATTAAAGGAAAAGGGCTTTTCTCACTAGGTCACATTAATATTTTCTCAAATAAAACAACAGTTACTTCAGCATTCAGTTAACATTCCTGAATATTAAAAGGAATATATTCAAATGAATATCAGAAAGACCTTCGGTTCCAGCACCCTGTTTCTAGTAGGAGTCAGAAACAGATGCTAGGGGAAGAAGAAAAGAATATGGTGATCAGTCAGTGATCTTTCCCTTGTAAGCTTGACCAGCCTTTGGCAGTGTGCACCTGAGAACCCTTGATGACTTTCTCCAATTTATTTGCCCCACTGCGTATTGAACCTACAGTTCAGATAGTATGTGAACTATCTTGTGTTCTAGAGTTGATCTCTGTGTTGCATACACAGTTGCGTAGCAACTCTTTTGGTTTGTTATCAAGCTGCTATTTGCTCCCTTGATTGGGTGCACAGCTAGCTGTCACTCTAAACCAACCCGTGGTTAAATGACCTCTTAATTCCCAAAGTCTGCCAAAAAATCTGTTCCTTGCAAGTGCAGTAGAAATTAATGTCAAAATTATGTATTCACTTTGAAAACTATGCCTCTGAGGTACATGTAGCAGAACTCAGACCCAGAATCATACATGTAAATACATGTATTCAAATACATATGTTATATTTTTGTATATTTTCTCCAAAAACCCAAATGTCACATCTTTTACCCATATTATTCTCTAAGTTTTCTACAGCTCTGCATCCTATTCCAATTCCTATAACACTATTGCAGTGTTTTTGCTCTTTTCATCTGGGGCTCTGTTTCTGATCTCTCAAAATATTCAGAATAGAAAGAAGGGAAAGGAAGCTGGGGGAGTAACCTGGTGAGAGAAGGAGAAGTCTACAGAAAATTAATTTCCCTTTCATTTAATCTTTTATCCTCTATGAAAAAAAAAAAGTCGGTGTTGTACAGTAAAGCAGTGTTTGGGTCACAGTTTGCTTTTCATTTTGTGTATTTCTGCAGTAAGAGAATTCTTACCGCCAGTATTTGTCATGCAAGATGACTGCTCTAAAATTTGACTATGAAAGCATCGTTGGCATTAAAATGTATCTTTAAGGGATTATTTTTTTTTTAATGCATATTGCTGTTTGGAAAAAATTGATTTGAGGCTGCCCCCTGGAAACTGAAATTCTTTTTTTTTGTTTGTTTGTTTAATTTTTAGCTGTTTTGCTGGTTTGTTTTTTGTTTGTTTGTTGTTGTTTTTTTTTTTCCCCCAATTGCAAATATAGGCCCCTCAAGATAAAAGCAAAAGGTTAAATTAACTCCATTGGATATTCCAAATATTATTTCCTGCTTATCTTTTAGATTAGTTTTTCTGTGTATGGTTAGAAAAAGTGATAAGTCATAGGCACAAAGAATTAGATTTATGAGGAAAAGCCATATAGAAGATTCATATACAGAAAGCCTTACACAGCATTATAATGTGCACATCTGTGGAGCTATGATCAATAACAACCTTTTTTCAAAGAATTTGGCTGTCCTTTGAAGTTAACATCAGATCTTTTTCCTCAATAGAATACCAAAAGGATAAAACAAAATGAGGAAATAGCCTCCCAGGTGCTGTTTTGATATCCCACTTGTGGGCATCTCCTTGGTAATACCATCCAAATTAGATAGGAA